AAATTCATCAACAAATACCAAAATGAATACTACTAAAAATATGGATACAAAAATATCTTATAGTGAAAGGGGGTAGGAAGATATAGATAACAGTGCGATTGATTACGATAAATTGGTTAACATCCCATGATGTTAGTTTCGATATTTGTTTAACAAAAAATCTCGGATAACATCAAAAGTTTTGCAAAACATTCATAGCAAACTAATAATGAGTTAGTGCATCTCTAAACTTGCATCTTCACTGAAGAATGAACAAAAGTCTGGCAGAAAACTTTAAAATTTCAGTCTTTGTCAAGTGATATCCAGAAACATCAACAAAACCTACAAGAAATAAGAAAAATCTATTAGAAAACTTTGAGATACATTAGCCAAGAATCCAACATCTATTTTGAAGAACCAGAACTAAATAACATTTGGTAGATAATAGAAACAAATGGAATGAATTAGCATAAAAGACGAGCTAGATTAACATCTCAACAGAAAACGTTAAAACAGAGTAGCTGGCTGCGATATTGTTGCAGCATAGTAGAAAATTTCAAAACAAAATTTGTGTCGTTATGAAGTTATGTAGAAAATAAAAAACACAGCCAACATAAAAGATATGTACAGTTGCAATGCATCAGTCTCTGAACTCATCTCGTCTTGTCTCGTCACCTCACCTCAACTCGTCTCCTCCTCTAACTGACCTTGTTTAAAATAAATTAAGAGTTCAAATGTAACTCCAACTAATGTTTTCAACGTTCTACATTGGAACTACTAGCTCTAGTAATAGGACTGAAAATGGCGGCTCGACGGAATATCTCTAATCTACAAATTGAAACTGAATCAGCAGAAAAATTCAGGTGATTCACAAAGGTCATGATTCATACACCAGGTGGACTGTAGTATTTCTGCTGAGTCAGATTCAAATGGACTGAATGAATAACATAAAAGACGAGCTGGAGTAACAATATTTTGGCAGAAAATGTTAAAACAGAGTAGCTGGCAGCAATTTTGCAGCAGAGCAGTATTTCTGCTGAGTCAGATTCAAACAGACTGAATGAATAACATAAAAGAAGGCAATGCATCAGTCACTCGCCTAACCTCGTCTTGTCTCGTCGCCTCTCCTGAACTCATCTCCTCCTCTAACCAACTTTGTTTAAAGAAATTAAGAGTTCAAATTTAGCTCTAACTATTCTCTAAGCAATCACTAATTTTGCATATATTTATAGATAACAATCCAACATCTATTTTAAGAAACTACAACTAAACAACATTTGGAAGGAAATAGAAACAAATGGACTGAGTGAATAACATAAAAGACAAGCTGGAGTAACAACATGTGGGCAGAAAATGTTAAAACAGAGCAGCTGGCAGCAATGTTGCAGCAGAGTAAAAAAATAATGTACTATGTTCTAAATGTTGCGCCATTTTATTTTTATTAGAAGGCAATGCATCAGTCTCTCGCTTCACACCTCGTCTTGTCTCGTCGCCTCTCCTCAACTCATCTCCTCCTCTAACCAACTTTGTTTAAAGAAATTAAGAGTTCAAATTTAACTCTAACTATTCTCTAAGCAGTCACTAATTTTGCATATATTTATAGACAACAATCCAACATCTATTTTAAGAAACCATAACTAAACAACATTGGGAAGGAAATAGAAACAAACGAACTGAGTGAATAACATAAAAGACGAGCTGGAGTAACAACATGTGGGCAGAAAATGTCAAAACAGAGCAGCTGGCAGCAATGTTGCAGCATAGTAAAAAGTTGGGTATATTGTTACTAACTTGGTTAGCTGAAAAGGTAGTGGTCATTCAGTTGAAAAGGACGATGTTGTAGCTGGTACATGTGATTGATGAGCCACGAAGAGTTCTTTCATTTTCATTACTTCTTTCATCGCATCTTCTAAGGTAGACAAGCGATTGGTCAAGGATTTGTTTTCCTCATTCAAGGATTTGTTCTCTTCATTCAAGGATTTGATATCCTCTCGAGTTGAACGCAGCGCAGATAACAATTCAGCTTTTGAGGAAGTTCCACCTTTCAAGTCTTTTGCCTTTACTCCACCCCCAAATCCAAATACGTGGCTACGAGTTTGAGGTCCACAACATTTTTCAACAATCTCTAAGGTAGGTAGAGATGGATCTACTTGAACCATTTCTTCGAGTTGAGCCTATAAAATATATCAAAGAACATTTTCTATTATAAAACATGACAATTTTAAGCAATTTACATATTTAATTTACAAAACGCACATGTTTTTCAATTGCTTCAGGTTCAACAAGCTTGTTATCTTTCTTACGAGTCTCAAAGAAAATAGTTGCCAAATCTGGTGGATTTCCATCTTTTCCGCCCTTCACATCAAAGTCAAACATGTCAAATAACACACACCTCATAAATATTCCATTTAGAAAACTAATTTTATGATAATACCTTTTGATAAATAATCTCTCGAATAGGCTTGCTACCAATATGATGAAGCATCTTTAACTTTGCTCGATTTGCTGCATTCCTAGTGCTTCTTGCCTGTATTTGTTCACAGTAAGCTTCTAGTGCGAGTACTTAAAAAAACTGGGATCATAGATATAAATATTTTCGAGATGGTCATTTCTTATATGAGAAATTTGGATTCTGAACTTAAAGAAGAAAAACCAATGGTTCTTGGAAGTTGCTTATAAATGGATGATAATTGGTTGATGCAAATGGATACTTAAAACAATTTATTTTCAAATTTGAGTCAACAATATGAGCTAGTCATAGCAAGATGTAATCAAGAACTGAAATGCTCTATAACAGTAACATATTGGTATAGAACAAAAATAAATTAGGCATGTGAAATCTGCACCTTCTTCATACAATTTTCCTGTACTTTAGAACAAAAACTGAATTGTTTACTCACCTTTGCATCCTAAACTCACAAGATAAATGTGGCTTGCCCAGATTCAAGAAAAATAAATTAGGCATGGATTAGCTAGTTGGTGCATCAAGGATACAAACTCAGGTTTTTTTCCAGGTCTATTAGGTGCTAAGGAGGGAAATCAAACTGTACAAAAGAGTAGAAAAGCAGACTATTAACTTAATAGGCGTACCTGAAAACTTTCAGAAGCAAAATGTTCCTTTACTAACCATTCCCATTCTTTTTTGTCTACTCCTCTTGGGACATTCTTAAGAGACTGTTGGATAGGCTTGTCCTTCACATATTTTGCATGCAAGTGTCCTCTCCATTTGTTACATAACTCATTCATCCATCCCAAGATATGATCACGATGATCATTCATATCAACACTCTCAAATTTGTGCTACAACAATTGAAACATGAGTTGAGTTATTATTTTCAAAAAAAGAGAGGCATCATAAGTTGTACATCAGGCGTATATTTGTTACCTCAACGGCTGCCCACATGTGATTCAACTTTTCTTGCTTAATATCATGCCACGATGATACCCCCAAGGGACAAATATTACGATCACGCACAATTTTTCCCAAATGCCTCGAAAAAAGATTGCTATTTGTTCCAACCGTTCGATTATTGTAAAAGGTGACTTTCAACTTTTGTCCAATTTCAAGTGAAGCAACTTGTTTGCACATGTTGCTTCCTCGAACTCTTCTTACCTTTGTAGGACTAGATGACCCTACAACAACATAATTGGATAAAAACAATAGCAATCAAACTAATTAAAATTTAATAACATATTAATTCAAAATATCATACCTTTTTCTGTTGTTTGAGAGTGGTTCATAACTTGATCAACAGATGGAGGTAATGAGACATTGGTTTGCATATTCTCTTTCTGAAGAACCAATTTTTTCATGTTTTGCATTTCTTGATTAGAAGACATGTTAGAACTCAATTTTGTGCATTTAGAAGGAGTTTGCATATGCCGATTATCAAAAACAGCACTCTTGTTGAAAGATCCCAATTCATGTTCATCACTTCCCAAAGAGGAGCTCAAAGATCTAGTTCTTTTCTCAAGTCCCTTTCCTGTACCACCTAGACTCACTTAACATGATATAAAAGTTTATCAAAAAAGTTGAAACCACGGTATATTTGTAAAAAATGTAATGTTTTTGAAAAAAATCTTACTTGTTTCAACTTCTTGGGTGTATTTCTTAACTTGATTAGTCATAGGAGATGCAGTATTAATTTGCATATTCTCTTTCTCAGGAGCCATGGAGTTCTTATGCATCATTCGTATTCCTTGACTAGTGGACATGGTAGAGTTTTTAAGTCCTTGGCCATTCCCTGTAGAACCTGAAAAAAAAAAATCATGCAACCAATAGTTTAGCACATTATTTTGGAGAGCAAGAAGCTGAAAAAAAAGACTCACCTCGAAGGGCTCCTAAAGACAAGATATTTAAGTACAGTGAGATAGAGCTGCTTTTTGGCCTGATATTTAACTTTTTATCATGGAATTTACATATCAGTTCGTGCCATATTGAAGGTAAAAGGGTATATAAGATTGTACACATGATAGCATAATTATACATATTAATATCTTATTCCTATATTCTACATCAAACAGAGCACTCAACAATTAATACAAAGAAGAATGAGAAAATTTCTGAAGAGCCTTGTTGAGGTAAAAAAATAGATCAAATATTCGACAATGGACGCAACTTATAGGAATAAAAGAAAATAAGAATCTTACTTGTTTCAATTTCTTTGATGTACTTCTTAACTAGATCACTTGATTGAGGCAATAAACTCTTAGATGGCAAACTTCCCTTCTCACCCAAAGATTTAAGCCCTTGTCCTCGACCCTTTCCAATAGCACCAGGAGCAACAAACGTATATCTGATAGTACTCTTCATATTAGAATCAACCTCATTTTCAGTCTTTAATGATTTCATCTTGAACCTGCAAAAAGAGACAAAACGTTAAAAATTAAACTTGAAAATGTCTAATTATGTAATAATAAAAGAAATTGTGTCATCATAATGTTGAATAATGAAATACTAATTCATAAAAGATACTTCACCTCATTAGTTCTTTTTCTTTTCTTTTGGGAAGGACTTCCTAACTCTACAATATCATCATCCATTTGTTCCACAATCTCAAAGGAATCACGAGGTTGAGTCTTTCTCACTACTTGCCAACCTTTATTGGAATTATCATTAGCATAAAACACTTGAGATGCTTGATTCGCTAAAATAAATGGCTCATTTGTTTTCAAAAATCTACTTGGATTAACACTCACAAAATCATACTCATCCTTTGTAACTCCTTTTATTTCATCATACACATCGAACCAATTACATCGGAATAAAATCACTCTTCTATCCATGACAAATTGCAACTCAATCACATCTCTTAAAACTCCATAGTAATCAAGGTTCTCACTATCTTCATCATTCTCACCCAATACAACAACACCACAATTTTGAGTCCTTAACTTGTTATCATAATCTTCTACATGAAACCTATATCCATTAACGACATAACCATTAGAATGCGTTGAATATTTGGTGGGACCACGTGAAAGTGAGAGTAGATCTTCCATGATCTGACTATCATCTTGTTTGTGCAATTGTGCGACCTATCAACAAGATAATATTTAATATTTTAGAATGAGTATCACAATATTAAAATATCAAATTTTGATATTTATGTATTACTCACCCTATCTTTAAACCATGCAATAAATTGTCGGCTCCATTCTGCATCAGACAAGTGTCGAGCATTCTCATGACTTTGTGCAAACTCTCTATAAAATTGAAGTGAACCATAAGTCTCATCTGAAAAGTGATTAATCTAAAAGAAATAAAAATAATGAGATGATATAAAAGAAATCTCCATACTTGAGATATGGTAAGACTTCATCGCAGTTCTTCAATATGTATATATGTGCTTGTTCTAGTTCATCTGCTTCAAGCTCACATGGATTTTTAGCTCCTAGAGTTTTTCCAGGTTGACTAAAAATAGATAAACCACCATTCGATTGTTTTAAACCACCATCATAATTTCGTTCAGGACGATTGAATCTTGTGTCAACCTTATGCAAATACCTTGAACATAAAGTCATACATTCATTTGCAATGTAGCCCTCTGCAATACAACCTTCTGGACATGCCCTATTACCAATGAGAGATTTCAAAAAATATAGCCATCGCTCCACGGGATACATCCACCGATATTGAATCGGTCCAGCAATCTTAGCTTCAGTAGCTAAATGAACAGGTAAGTGCACCATGACGTCAAAAAAAGAAGGAGGGAAGACCTTTTCCAACTTGCAAAGTGTTATGGGTATTTGTGCTTCAATATGCTCCAAGTTTTCAATTCTCAACTCTTTCGATCCAAGCACACTAAAAAATATAGACAATTCAATGAGAGGTTCACACACTTCTTTGGACAACATACCACGAAGTGCAAGAGGGAGTAGATGTTGCAAGAGAACATGACAATCATGACTTTTCAATCCAGATATCTTGTGATCTTTCAGGTTCACACATTGAGAAATATTAGATGAAAACCCATCAGGAACCTTTAGATTTTTTAAGAAAAGGCACAATTTGTGCTTATCTTCTGGAGACAATGTGTAGCATGCTTTTGGAACTTCTATTTTCTCCCCCTTTTGGATGGGGTGCAATTCTGGCCTAATGTTCATCTCTTGTAAGTCTAATCGAGTGTTAATTGTGTCCTTGGTCTTTCTTTTGACATTCATAATTGTCCCCATGATATTATCACATATATTTTTTTCAATATGCATAACATCCAAATTATGTTGCAACAAGAGACACTTCCAATATGGAAGTTCAAAAAAGATACTTTTCTTGTTCCAATTATCCATTCGATTTTCATGTGATATGTTCTTTCTTATCTTAGGATCTTTTGATAATTGTAACCCTTCAAGATCTTGCACTTGATTAAATATCTCAATACCGGAACGCACTTTTGGTGGAGGCCTTTTCTCCACTGTACCATCAAATGACCCCTTCTCACTTCGCCATTTGTGATTTTGAGAAAGATAACGCCGATGACCCATAAAACACTGTTTCTTACCCTTAGTTAATCGAATTGAGGAAGTGTCTTTATTGCAACATGGGCATGCCAATTTTCTTTTCGTACTCCATCCCGATAAATTTCCATATGCTGGAAAGTCATTGATGGTCCATAATAAAGAAGCATGCAACTTAAAATTTTGCTTAGTTGATGCATCATAGGTCTCAATACCAACTTCCCACAACTCCTTCAATTCCTCTATTAAAGGCTGAAGATATGTATCAATTGCATCTCCTGGACCACTTGGACCCGGAATAAGCATTGACAAAATAAAATTTTCTTGCTTCATACACAACCAAGGTGGTAAATTATAAGGGATAAGAACTACAGGCCAAATGCTATGTGAGGTTTTTGAATTCCGGAATGGTTGAAATCCATCACTAGCAAGTCCAAGTCGAACATTTCGAGGCTCAACCGCAAATGAAGGATGAAGTTCATCAAATGACTTCCATGCCATTGAATCAGCCGGGTGCCTCATTATTCCATCATCCACTCTTTTATCCTTATGCCATGTCATCAGAGTAGATGTCTTGGTAGACATAAACAATCTCTGAAGTCTAGGCTTTAAGGGAAAATATCGTAAACTCTTTGATGCTATCTTTTTACCTTTTTTATTCCTTGTTTCCCCACTATGTGTATTTATTTTCCATCTCGTCGCACCACAAACCTTGCAAGAATCAAGTAAGCTATCATCCTTCCAGTATAACATGCAATCATTAGTACAAGCATCGATCTTGTTGTATGAAAGACCAAGTTCTTGAATTATCTTCTTTGCCTCATAATATGAATTTGGCAAATTGGCACCATCAGGCAATAACTCCTCTTTCAACATTTTCAATAGCATTGTAAATGATGCATTACTCCAATGACCCATACTCTTTATATGAAGCAATTTGATCAAAGTGGAAAGCTTTGAAGCTTTTGAATTTTTGTATAATGGACACTCAAAATCCTTTAATAGGCTGTAAAACTTTCTTGCTTCAACATTTGGTTCCTCTTCGAGAAAGTCATCACAACCAGTATGTGTAGTTCCTCCATCAAGATTAGGATATAAATCTCTCAATAGTTCTTCTACTTCATCTTCACTCTCACATTCTTCTATAGCATCTTCATCTTCATCTTCATGTTCTGATTCTGATAATAGCTCACCCAAACGTTCTCCATGGTGATACCAAAAAGTATAATTGCGAATTATTCCATGTACTAGCAAATGTGTCTCAACTGTTTTACGAGTTCCTAAAGTTGTATTGTAACATTTGACACATGGACATCGTATTTCATCTTCTTCTCCATTTTTTTGAAAAGCATAATTCAAAAACTTTTGCACGCCGATCAAATAGATTTCATCGAGACGATTATCAACAAGTTGCATCCACTGCTTACTAGGTGCCATAACCTTTAAGAGGACATAAAAAAACTTTTTAAAAGATACAGAATAACAAAAAATCTAAGATGCAAACAACTTGTTACCATCAGATAAACACAATAGGGTTGAAATCTAAGGATAGATGTCACTAAGAATTATAAAAGATTATAACTTTACTTATAGCAAAGATGTTAGTTCCTGAAACATGATTTTTCTTTGAGCCTACCAAAGATTGGAGCAACTAAATACACAAAATAGTATATATTACGACATAAGATTATCTAAATAGTTGTTTGTTACTAAAAAAAAATTACTTGCTTATAGTTCTTTACATAAAGTGGGAACTTGATGATTTGGAAAGGGAGGACTTCTTCCGTTTGAAGAAGATACGAGGTTACAAGAAGAGGGAGGTAGAGAAACAGATGGCCACTGCAAGGCTATATGCAGTGGAGAAGGCTGCTAAAGATATTTATTTAAAGAGAGGTATTTCGCTTGGTTCAGCCCATAACTTACTGTCCCATGCTTTACAGAAAGATGAGGATATTGTTTTCTGATGTGGAGGTCAGTTTTTATTAGTCACGTCTGTCGTCAAATAAAGATGGATAATACTTTGCGCGTTAACTTTTTTTTGTAGAACCATTTATCTGGACTGCTTCATTTTTGCAATATAGCAAAAGGCCCAGATTACACGCTAACAGAGAATGGTAGAAAAATCTGATCATTTTCATGATTAGTGTTTTTTTTTCTTCCTGTAAATGAACATGAGAAAATCTGATCGTTTTCATGATCAGTATTTTTTTTTTTCTTCATGTAAATGAACATGAGAAAATCTGGGAATGTAGTTTTTTCTCCATTTTAAGTGTAATTTCCTTGATGACTACTAAAGTGTAGTTTCTTAAATGCAGGTATGGGATGTTATATCGAATGAAGAGGCTGTAGAAATTGTATCTGAAATTCCGGATAGGGCAAAAACAGCACAGCATATTGTTCAATGTGTTGTTCGTGCTTGGAAATGTAAGAGGAGAGGGATAGTTGTAGATGATATTTCAGCAATTGTACTCTTCTTTCATTCTAAGATTTCTGTCAGCATATTTACCCTGTAACTACTCCAAAATAACACTTGATAGAAAGCGCAAGTTTCTGTTTCTCATGTTCTCCATCTACCTGCCTTTGGCTAGTTATTTTTTCACAGTTTATTCATGAAATGGATTGGTATTAGTTTAGATACAAAAAAGTCATTCTATTAGATCAAACAAGTTTGGACATACATAAATGATAAAATCTTAGAACTAGATGCTCTTTAAGTAAGCGTAAGTCCAAAACAAGTTGAAATCGACTATATGTATAGTCACTGACAATATTTCTCCATTAGACAATACTTCCAAGTGGTGCAAAAATGATAAATTACAGAAGTAGGCAACTTGGATGATGAAGTTAAAGTACAATGAAGCCTAGCTGCAATTGAAGGAAAAGTGTTGAATTTTCTGCTCCAAAAATTCTGGGTAAGTTTTCCTAAAATAGGACCAGACAAAACAATGAGTTAAATGTATGTGTTGCTAAAAAGTCAGCCCAAGAAAATAGAAAGCCAAAGCCACTTTGTTGCACCATGTCAACAAGGAAATTAAGGCCTATAATTGTACAACTCAAGCAGCCATTTCAGACTGCTATGAAATTGGGAATGCAAATGTTGATCTTCATTCAGAATTCTGTTTTGAACTTTGAACTCATGATAGGTAGTGTCATTCTTCTTGTACTTTCTGTTTAAAGCCGCTTCTCGTATTTTGATTATATTATCAAATGGAGAGATTTTTAACAGTTCAATAAGAGCTCTGTGCATGTCTGTACTTAAAAAAAACACTGCCAAAGTATTAGTTCAATTATTTACTCCTTATATTCTGTTTTTTAAACAATTTCTTGTCCAATACTAATGATCAACAAACAACTGATCATGACATTAACTGGTGGTATAGAAAAACTCCTCATCATAAACTATGTAATTACTTCATGTCATCTGGTGATTTCAAACCCAAAAAAACTGCCAAGTTTCGGATCATGAGCACTCTATTAAATATGAATCTTCAGGCTCATAATACACTTCACAAATCGAGTCAACTATTAGAATGCTCGACCCATTAATCTTTTACTGACAAGTAAGAAAACATCGCAGATTATGGAACTTTTAACCTATTAATGTTAGAAAAGAGGAAGAAGAAAATGACTAACTTGAATAAAACAACAACAAAAATCCATCAATACAATTTATGGAAGAACCAAGAAGCTCGATTTAGAAGAGGAACAAACCTGAAATTCCTTTTTTCGCAGCTAAGCAGCAACTACACAATGAAGAAGAAAAATCTGCTATGAAAATTCACTGGCAAAATCGAGTCAACTATTAGAAAGCTCAACCCAATAATCTTTCACTGATTGTAAGGAATAAAACAGAGCATATTATGAAACTTTTGACCTATTTAATGTTAGAAAAGAGGAAGAAGAAGAAGACTAACATGAATAACATAAGAGTCATCAATCAATTAATGGAAGAAACAACAACTCGATTTAGAAGAGGAAACAAACCTAGAATTCTGTTTTTCGCAGCTATGCGCAACAACTACACAATGAAGAAGACAGCGATGCTATGCACGAAAATTCACTGGTGTTGAGATTGGGGCAGAGTCGAAGCAATAATCCGTCTTTGATCAGGCAGTACTGATTTGAAGAGAGCTAGGGCAAGCTGCGACCATATTTAAAAAGACTTTTCCAATTCCTTTTCCGTCATTTACTTTTCTGAAAAAAATAGCGGGACTTTGCCTTTTTTGGCTTCATTAAAAAAAACTTTAGCGCCTAAAATTTGGTGAAAACAAAAGTTTATTTTTTTAATACTTCAGTATTTAATTTGGGTTGAAGTAATTCCCGCTAATTCCTTCAATTACAATTTGGGACCAGTTAATAAGTTCTTTAGGGACCGGATTTAGTATCTTCCCTATAAAATATATAAATAAGGACCAAAATATAATCTCGTCCCAATACATATATCAGTAGAGAAGGGATTACTAGCTCGTCTCTAAGCGTTGGTCTTAAATAACTGTTTTTCTTGTAGTGTATAAGTCCTAAAAATTCGTAGACAATGAAACTAAAATACACAAATAAACCCTAAGCCCTAAACCCTAAACACAAAGAAAGACATAAGCCTTAAAAACCTTAAAAACCCAAAAACCTCTAAACCTAAAAAAGTATACTATATAAAACCTATAAAGCCCTAAATCGTATATGCTAAACCCTAAAAATACACATAAAAAAATTCTAAGCCCTAAAATCTAAATCCTATAAAACCCTAAAAATCATTAAACTAAAAATCCAAAGCCTTAAACCCTAAAAACCTTGATAAAACCCTTAACCCAAAACCCATAACCTAAAAAAAACCCTCCGAAGACCCTAAAGTCCTAAGAAACCCTAAACCCTTAACCTTAGGAAACCCTAAATCCTATAAACCCTAAAATCGACCCTAAAAACCCTAAATACCATTTAAAATCCCTACAAAACTCTAAATTCTAAAAAATCAGTAAACCGTAAAACATAGCTACACAACCAAAAACCCAAAACTCTAAAAAAACCTTAAGAAACACTTAACCCTAAAAAAACTCAAGAACCCCTATATGTAAATACCTATAAGCTCTAAAAAGCCTACAAAACCGTCATCTCTAAACCCTTAGTCCTAAAAATCCGTAGACCATAAAACTAAAATTACCTAAGAAACCCTAAGCCCTAAACCCTAAACACTAAGAAAGACTTAACCCTTAAAAACCTAAAAAACCCAAAAAAACCGCTAAACCTAAAAAACTCTAATAGATAAACCCTATAAATCCCTAAATCGTATATGCTAAACCCTAAAAATACACATCAAAAAAATTCTAAGCCCTGAACTAAAAAACCTATAAAAACCCTACAAAGCTTTAAACTAAAAATCCAAAGCACTAAAACCTAAAAACCTTGATGAAACCTTAAACCCAAAACCCATAACCCAAAAAAAAACCCTCCGGAAACCCTAAATCTTAAACATAAAGCCCTAAGAAACCCTCAACCCTTATCCTTAGGAAACCCTATATCCTATAAACCCTAAAATCGACCCTAAAAATCCCTAAATACTATTTTAAACCCCTACAAAAACCCAAAGCTCTAAACTCTAATTTCTAAAAATATGTAAACCGTAAACCATAGGTACACCACAAAACCCTAAGCCCAAAACCCTAAACTCTAAAAAACCCTAAGAAGCACGTAACCCTAAAAAACTTAAAAACCCCTAAATATAAAAAACTCTAAGCTCTAAACCCTATAAATCCCTAAATAGTATATGTTAAACCCTAAAAACACAAAAAAATCATAGCCCTAAATCCTAAACCTATTAAATCCTAAAAAACATTAACCTACCCAGAGCCCTAAACGGTAAAAAACCTAGATAAAAACCTTAACCTAAAACCCTAAACCGACAAAAACACTAATCCTTAAACCCTAAACCCTAACCTAAAAACCCTAAATCTTAAACCTATAACCCAAAATCCTAAACTTTAAGAAACCCTTAACCCAAAACCCATAACCCAAAAAAAAAACCCTCCGGAAACCCTAAATCCTAAACATAAAGACCTAAGAAACCCTCAAACCCTTATCATTAGGAAACCCTATATCCTATAAACCCTAAAATCGACCCTAAAATCCCTAAATTCTATTTTAAACCCCTACAAAACCCAAAGCTCTAAACTCTAAATTCTAAAAATATTTAAACCGTAAACCATAGCTAAAAAACAAAACCCTAAGCCCAAAACCATAAACTCTAAAAAACCCTAAGAAACACTTAACCCTAAAAAAACTCAAGAACCCTTAAATCTAAAAAATTCTAAGCTCTAAACCTTATCAATCGCTAAATTGTATATGTTAAACCGTAAAAAAACAAAAAAACCTTAGGCATAAACCCTAAACCTATAAAATCCTAAAAAGCATTAACCTACCCAGAGCCCTAAACCATAAAAACCTAG